GTCATGTTGAGAGTAGGCGCATCCACCTTCAATGGCTTCCCAATCACGGTTGCCATCAAAAAAATTACCTCCGGATTGAGAAATTCAATCGGGAGATCAAAAAGGGAGACCCAGATTGGGACAATGGGGCGATCTTCCTCAAACTTGAAACCCGACCTCCATTTCAAAATCCTCATGGAGAATCCGGCGATGTTCCAAAACGTTTTTTTCCAGCATCTTTGATAATCCTCTTCCCTTTCAAAGTGAATGAGGACATGCCTAGGGTTCATAGGGCCAAGAGTATAGCCTCCTTGGAACCCTACCTTCTTCATATTCATGATGGATCTCTTCCATTTTCGGTCGACCATATGAAAACTTCCCGATTAGACTCAATTGGTGTGGGGCTATCAATTGATCAATTGACTAATGAGCCTTTAGAAAAGGAGTGTCTATTGGCTTTTGGAAAAAACTCGCAAATGTGCGAGGAGGTCCAGTGGGGAGCTCCTCCAGTGGGGAGGTCCTCGGCTTGATCTCCGGTCATGAGACCGTGAAACAAGACTGAAAATTGAAAATTCCGGCCACTGGTAGACAGAGATTAGGAGAACCCGACTACTCACCTGTTTCTGTAAACCTAGTTGCTTCGCACGATCAAAGTACATAGTAAGTTTTAGCGGAAATTCTCTTCTAAGGCGTGATAGGAATTGAAATTCCTAATAATAGTGTATAAGTTTCATACTCTTGGTGTAAAGTTAATGATGGTTTTTTCTTAATAATTGAAATGACTCTTTTCTCCTTATCTCTCTCCCTCCCATAATCAGTTGTAGGCTTGCAGACTTTTATTCGGTGGAAAACAATGAAAATGCACATTCCAAATTCGAAAATTTTCTTTCACTGCTTCTCCGTACCCTAGAAAATACCCTTCCCCCCCCCCCAAAGAAAAAAAGCGAAGAAGAAAATGCTTACACATTTCAAAATTTGCCTCGCTCTTGTAATTAGACCCTTACAACTTTAATGTGCTATCTTGTTCTTTGTAATTTTATTCATTATTTGACATATAGAGCTTATAAAAACAATATTTATATTAGCAGTTCCTTAGAAAATTATTTTGGCTCTAGCTATTGTATACTCACTTTTTTTTTCTTTATATAGACATCAAAAACTCTGTTGTTTACATCTACCCAATTAATATGTTATTGTATCATATGAAAAACGAGCAGGCTTTCCTATTTTTATTGAATAAGCATATTTTGAGAACTGATCTGTTAAATACTTTAATTTGCCTATATTTGGCTGAATTTTATATGTTGTGTGGGTAAAGAAGTACTAAAATTTACAGTGAAATCTAAACCCCAAATATTTTCTTGTCTTTGGCTTCACATATAGTAATAGTATGTTGATTAAGAGATATACTGGAGAGATGGAAGCAACATTTGCAGGATAGTTGGAGTTTTAACCAAGGAGATGAAGATAAGAGTAAAAAAGGTCATTTCAATAGTAATAAAAATAGCATCTATAGTGTTACGCTCTAAACAGGAATTATGAAATATATTAATATATATATATATATACAGTCCTTTTAGAAATTTCAACTCTTACAATGCCCTCAAGTAAATTTTCTCTAAGTTCTATCAGTAAAATAAGAAATATAATGAAGGTTGACTACTGGTATACTTCAATTTGTTTCGACACTCATTACGTAAGCCCTAACCTTATATAATCTAGAGAATGTTGATTAAGAAACTATTTACCCGTGTTGTGATCTACTCAAGAAGATTTTGTTCGTTTGCCCCTTGTAAACATGATACGTGTTTAGCCATTTTCATTAAATTTTTTCGCTATTTTAAATTTTGAAAATGTACATAAACGTAATATAAAAAGTATTGTACTACAAAAATCATATGTCATCGAACGGTGGTACAACCACTAATATTTGTTGACTTGGTTGTATCCTTTGGATTACACAAATTTCGAAACAAATGTGCCATAATTTTTTCTTAAGATTACAGCAAGCTGCATTAAAGCAATGATTAACCCATTCTTGACCAAGTTACTAGCAAATCGTGAAGTAACTTTCGTTGTCTCATTTATCTAAAAATGAGCAAAAAGTAACTGTGATATTACATGCATCAAATTGTGCGCCAGTTATGACTAATAATGTTGCTCTTATACAATATTTTTATTACATAATTCAGTATTTTATTATTTTTGTAATAATTTTATATTATAATCCTTATATACTATATAACTAAATGAAAAGATGACACATGACTTGTAGTAATGCCTCACACCTTTTGAAAGAAATATACTACATGTCTCGAAATATGATAAGTATGACAGAATTCATTTTACAAAAAGTGTTTTTAGGAAAATTTGTATGCAAAGTATGATATTAGACCACACTTAGATTGACCGAAAATGGCTCTGTTAGGTTCATTTTTCTCATAGTTTTTCCAGATTATTTTTTTAATAAATATCCTATTTCATTATATTTTTTTATCTTTTTAAAATACTTTTTATATTACTAATAAATGAAACACCTTAAATTACACACAAAAAAGCTATCCAAATACACTAATGTTTTTGGTTTTCGGGAGATATTTGACTAGTTTCCCAAATACTGGGGACAAACAAGGAGGTCATCGGATAATAATTGTTGCGGCTTTTGAATGTTGAACATCTTTTGGAAGAGACGAGCCGGGAAGTTTACATCGGAAGCTTTGTCTTAACTTGCTCGCCTACTGATTGGAGAATCCATATTTGAAAGCTATAAAGGTGAGCCCTTTAATCTATTTCCTATTTTAGAAGCTATATTTAATTCTCTATGTAATACAACATTTCGTAATGCCCAAAAATACTATGTTCTTTAATGTTCTTTAACTCGTTATGAACCCCATGTCCTTGAATTTCACCAACCATTTTCATCGTTGATTCCCGTTAAGGATCTGTTGGGGGAAAGAATCTAACATTGGTGTCGTGAAGAATGTGTCACCGGTTTATAAGTGCCAAAGGCTAACCTACTTATTGCCAATTGATTTTGAGATAGGAGCCCAAGGTGACTTTGACATGGTATCAGAGACCACTATCTCTGGACCTGTCATAACTACGGAGCCGCGTGTGCGGGCTTGTAGACCCAGCAAAATATTTGGGCTTGTGGTCTGACCCGGCAGTATATCCGGAGTATGTACCCGTGTACATCTTGTTCACTGACCCAACAGTATATCCGGAGTTGTGACTTACCCAACAATATATCTGGTGAATTATATTGTGTTTTGAAACCCCAATGGGCTAAATACCCCATTTTATGTTGTACAACCCCAGTGGGCTAAATACCCCATTGGCCTTGAGAGAGGGTGTTGGGAGAAAGAATCCCACCTCGGTGTCATGAAGAATCACCAAATGGGCTAAATAGCCCATTGGGCTTGAGGGAGGGTGTTGAGACAAAGAATCCCACATCGATGTCGTGAAGAATCTGCCACATGTTCATAAGGGCCACCCCACTCATTGGCAATTGGTTTTGAGATGGGAGCCGAAGGGGACTTTGACAGGATCCCAGTAACCAATCCGCAATAGTCTCTTATCTCAAAGAATCATGTGGGTTATCTCTAGAAAAAGCCCTTTCAGTCTAAAAGCATTTTGCTCAGATTTCATCAATTATAGATAGACACTCGAAGGTCCTCAAGCAAATCCTGAGAAGACACTTCTACCAAATATTGATTTTTTAGAATCTTTGGGAGTTTCTAGGTTAGACAGTCCCAACTTGTTGTGTTCTGGTCCAGCCATTCCTAGAAGCTTAAAAAAACAGATCATTCCGAACTTCAATTTCCTCAAGAGTTTCCTTCATTCAAGTGAAGATATTTTGATTGCTACTAATCGACAACCAGATCTTTTAATAAAAATATTGGAAGATCATGTAGTACGAAATATTGGAATTTTGCGAGAAGCTGGTGTCCTTGGATCCGGTATTCTCTACTGTATTAAAATCAAGGCAAGGCTTTTATCCAGGAGTACACCAGAACATCGAAATTGTTCCCTCTCTTTTGAGCCTGATAGAATTGAGAGGGAGTAGAGGCAGATGATGCATTCATCACTGAGATGGCTACTTAACTGCTCAAGTTGTCTACTTGCTGCCTATTTTATTGGTGATTGCCAAGGAATCAGAATCCTCTGCAAACCTCAATTTGCGTTGGATCTTCGGTCATGCCACCCATAGATTCTGTAGTAGAAATCAAGAAGCTGAATCCAAGAATTGCAGTTGAAGCAGCTCTATGACTCAATAGGAGCTGTGGTGAAGTAGGAGTGACTTCTCCAATTGTTCTACTGATGGAATGTGGGTAACTTTAAGATGTAGAACCTGTGAACTCTCCTCCAACAAATCCATAGCGAGCTCTCTTTTTCCAAAAACCCAAATTTTACTATTATTTGAAGAGTAAGCAACATCAAAGTGCAGCAACCTCCTTATTTCATCCAAACAACTAACTTGAAGCATAGGCTCCAATATAACAAGCAAAGAAACATTCTACATCCGAAGTAGAGACACTAACCGCCGTTGCGATGCTGGACTCCTTATACCCCGAATATTCCAAAATAGATGACTAATCATTGAAAAACATGAAAGGAGGAAACTGAAAAGGCCACTAGTTCAGCCGGGAGGATCGCCGGGGTAAAGCTGCCGCGGTCATGGCAGCCCGCTCGGCCTTCGATTTTCTACCTCGTTTTTTGGCTACCGTGGAAGCGCCAAGGGTTTCACCTGTGAGTAACGCATCCTCTTTTTCACTCTCTGACCATGCTTTTTCATCATTACTCACGTCTTCCACAGGTCTACTCCGAAGACCCACAGAATTATCATCCATAAATAGATTCGTCATCTTCGAACTATCAAATAAAACCAAAGATTTTGTGTAATCCTCCACCGCCTTGGAAGGCGATTCCTCCACATAAACCACCTCCACATTTTCATCATCAGAGTTTGTCTCATCCTCGATCTCACTAATCGAGGCAAGAATCGAAAAACGATTCAAGCTTTATTGATTCAGATTTTCTGTCGCAGCATGCCCCGCTTCGGGTTCTGCCGCAGCCGGCTCAGTCGAGGAAGATTCAACAGTCTTCTCTCCAACCACAGCCAAAATATCCACATGGATAGTCCTGTTTTCATGCCTAGACAGACCTGAAGTCGAAGCAGCAACAGGGTTGGCTGACTCCTTGCGTGACGGAAGCTGTGCAGGTTTGGGTTTTTCTGCAGGCGGCGCGATCCCCTTCTGCGGCATAGGGTTTTCATCCACGCTGTGCAAATTCATGTCAGGTTTTGCTGGCTGCGGTGGGCGCACAACATCACCTTGAGGTCGCATGTCTCCCCCTTTAGCTTCCAAATTACCTTTAGGCCGATTCTGGGTTTTCAAAGTTGAAGCTTTTCCTTTCTTTTCCATCTGCCTTTGGCTGCCGGCGTGACAGTCCTTGACTTTGTGGCCGATCTTGCTACACTTAGTACAATAGGCCGGCACATGTTCATAGGTAAACAATTGTTCATGCTTCTTCCCCTTTTTCCCTACCTTAACTGATTTCGGGAGATCCTTGGTTAGATCAACCTCAACACAAAAATGAGCAATCGACGGCCTCGTCATGTTCAATGTTGGAGCATCCAGTTTCAATGCTTCCCAATCGCAGTAGCCATTGAGAAAATTACCTCCGGATTTAGGAATTCAATGGGCAGATCAAACAAGGAGACCCAAATGGGCGGATCCTCTTCAAACCGAAAGCCGGGTCTCCATTTAAGGATACGCATCGAAAAACCAGCTATATTCCAGAAAGTCTGAATCCAACATCTCTGGTAGTCTTCCTCCTTCTCAAAATGAATAAGAACATGCCTAGGATTCATGAGACCTAGAGTATAGCCTCCTTGAAACCCTAACTTCTTAAACTCACCATGGATAGCTTCCATCTTCGGTCTGCCATAGGAGAATTTTCCGATCAAACTCAATTGGTGAGGGGCTACCAGTTTATCATATTCTTCATCCTCATATTCGAGAACCGGAGATCCGTTAATAAATAGCACCTCCTTAATTAGCGAGCCCTTGGAAAGGGGGGCTTCCATTTTTTGGAAAAAACTTGCAAAGGTGCGAGGAGGTCCAGTGGGGACCTCCCCGGCTTGATCACCGGTCATGAGACCGTGAACAAGTCTTGAAATTCCGGCTAGAGCAAAGAGAGGTGAGAGAGAGATTCTTTAGGCGAGAGAGAGAGTCTCATGAAATAAAAGTATCCTCATGGAGTCTAACTTAAGAGTTTGTTAGTCCACCTCCAGTGGAATTCTCAACGTAAACAAAAACAAAATTAAACATTAATGGGACTATCAAGAAGATTGAAACCATGATTAATGAGGTCAAAACACAATAAAATCTCCTTGTTTTGAGGAGGAGCAACTGTTGAACCACTTCCAATACCAATAGTCCAGAAACCAAAATTCTAGACAACCAAACCCGGAGTCACGCTCGTGGACACTTTGATTCGACACATATCCACACTATATCTCTCGGAATAAGAGCATGATTGATTCCCAAAAATTATAAATTAAACTTGTTATAAAACTCCTCATTTTTATTTAAGCAGATACAGACAACAATGTAACTTTGGAGGTTATCCATCTACCCAAAGGTGAATTTGAGATTACTCAAGTGTGAGTGATTGTGTGAACCGAAATTCCTAATCGGAGGTGGGAAAGGATGAATTGATGAAGTAGTAAGATTAATTAAGTTGAACTCTGAAGGAAATTGAACCAAAAGCAAATCAGATGTGACTGGATGAATTTTACTGGTCCTTTGTCACGAATATAATCAACCCAGACATTAAGATCAATCTTTTGTATGCAATCTTTCAAGTTCATTTCCACAAATAGTGGGGTAGGGTGATAAATTTCGGTACCAGGGGACTGACACACGAAGAGCAAGTTTTGTGAAGAATTCATTTGTTGGTTTTTCCTAAGGGTTAAAAGGTGAGCAGGATTTTGAAGAATTTTATAACAACTCGTATGAACCAACCATGCATTACATATTGATTCAACATCAATCTTGGTAAGAATTTCAGGTAGGATATTATAACGACCTAACTCACCTACCAGTTGTCGTACGTCATGCTTAGCTACAAGTTGAGCCTTCTGCCGGGCTCTTGCCCAAGGCATGTTACTTTTATTTACTTTTGAGTATAAATTCTAAATCAACTTAACGAATTCTATTGAATTATATCAGTTTCAAATGCTGATTCTAAACATAAACTTAACATTCTCACTATAACCTACGTAATGTTATAATCTATCCACGGCATCATCTCTTACACATGGTATTCTTTGGCAGAACGCTTCCCTTGAACTTATCTGCATTCGTTCTAAATATGGAAATGGGATAGAGGAACAAAATATAAAAAAGGGTGAGCGCCGAGCTCAGTGAGGTTCTCACTATACTAGTTCGATACTTTTAAATAAAACTATTTTGATAAAATAATATTCAAAGGTAGAATGATTTTTTTGCATATAATCATTCAAGAATCAACTATTCAACATCAAGCAGTTAACAATAGAGTGGATACGGGGAAACCTTAGCGAGGGCCATTAAAGAGCCTATGTGGCACAGAGACGAATTTCAAGTCAGATTTCAACAATACAATAACGATCACGATAACGATCAATGTCAATAACAATTCTTCTCAACACCTCGTGGCCACCATTGGATACTAATGAGTTTCGCGTCCATCTAGACAACAAGATAAGCCTAGGTAAGCTAACCTAGCGACCAAGTGCGATGCCGGCCCGCAAGGGTTCGCCAAACAAAGACAGGGCCAAGGCTCCAAGTGAACAGGGTCCACCAAAGCAACAACCACACATTATTGCATAATGATCAATCGATAACAACAACAGTTGTTCTGAGGTGATGAAGTACACTAGCAGAATCAACTCATTCAAGAAAGACAATCAAGTAATCACTCACCAATATCATTCAATCACATCAACGACTTCACTTAGCATACGTACCCCAGGGCAATTAAGTACACCTCTGGGTAATTCAACAATATGCATTTAACACTTTAACAAGATACAAAAATATGCTTACGGTGTAGTGACTTAAATACATATATATATATATATTCCCATACTCCCAGTTCTTAAATGAGTGAGAATTACTCTCCTGTTGACGCTAGCAAGCTGAAAGTACTGCAAGCTGGTTTTGCAATAAAATATAGCACTGTCGAAATTTAATGTATGTTAGCATAAGACATCGATCTTTGGTTCAATGCTAGGATCCAGTATACTGCACATCACTATTTATAGTTTACTACTTGTCTCTAATTCATAAGGTTTAAAGGTCGTATATTATTTCTTCTTTGTGCCTTCAGGACTTAACCAAACTAAAGTTACAAAAGTAACAATTTAACAGAATCAACAACACACGTATAGTCTTTTGGTACTTGGACTCATTATCCCACGAATGTAAGTTCCTTGACTAAAATAAATGAATATCACTTCACTATTATTACGTATTAATAATTTTATACCACTAATGGTCCATGGAGTATGTAATCATATCTATAACAATCTCCTCTACTCAAACCCACACACGTACTAGCTAGCTTTTTATTAATATCTTTACTTTAGAACCTGGACTTGATACACTTCCTCAAGTTCACCATTACTATTATTATTATTATTATTATTATTATTATTATTATTATTATTATTATTATTTAATATTTCTTTCCTGCAATTTAGTTAAAGTTCAAAGACTAGACCCTATTGGAGCCAAAACAAACAAAAACATAAGTTAATAATATTTACCACTCCAAAGAAATTGAAGGTAGACTGAGACTACCATAACGCTTGCCTCCGTCCCCCTTCTTGCAACTCGGTCTCACTTCTCACAAGTCTTGTTGATCGGTTTTCCCCTAAGACTACTGGGAAACCTTCTATGGCTTCTCATTTAGTTTTGATACAACGATTGAGCAAGTGATCAGTTATTATGTTTTTTTAAATAAATAGGGAGGTTAGGGTGATATTCATATCCCAACTGCCCCCAAAAAACTCAAGGGGTATACCCAATAGGTAAGTTTTTGAGACAGGTAGTGCTAGATTGTATAATGTACCAAGGGGTCTACCCATGGGATGGACATATATATAATATAGTTCCCTAGCTTCACCCCTTCCTGTTTTTATTGCAAATATAGAGAAACAATGCCAAAGGTAAGAAGAACCTTTAGACTTATACATCAAGCATATCTAGTTCTAACACAAGGGAAGGATAATTGATCTAAGATCAATAATCCTTTTACATCACCATATAGAGAGTCTATACTATAATACATTTCAGAAGTACTAGAAGATGCATTTTTAGCTAATATATCTGCCACCGAATTTGCTTCTCTATAAATATGCAAAACCTGATAACCATTCTGAATTATGAAGGACATTTCCTGGAAAGGCATGAAACACTCCCATGGAAAACAAAAACCACAAACCAAAGCATCCCCCAATGCTTTATTATCTGTCTGAAGAGTTACATTTGGAAGACACAAGAAGTCGCACCTCCGCAATCCAAAAAACACACCAAGGACTTTAGCTCTAAAACTATCACCCCCTCCTAGATATCCACTCTCACCATACACAAGTAAACCTCCTTCACCACAAACAACAAATCCATAACCGGAATTGCTACCCATTGATGAGCCATCAGTATTCAAAATAAAGGAATTTGGTGCCGGGGGAGACCAAACAATCTTCAAAAACTGTGGCCGAATAATGCGAGTTAGGGCAAGACAAAAGTTAGCCCTAACAAAGCATCGTTCCTCCTCATTGCATAACTTTAGATCCTGAATAGACTGAAGAGATCTAGCTTGGTCCATAGTAACATGAACTAAGCCCTTAAGAGTTGAACGTTTCCCTTCAAAGATAGACTTGTTCCTGCCTTCCAAAGCGTCCACAAAATGATTGCTGGAATTATTCTTCGAAGCGCACCTCTTGTTGTTTTAAAATCACCTTTGCCCCACCATTTTTTGCAGCATTGAAGCAAGTGAATTGACTCCCAAGACACTAACGCACATAATAGCTGTGAAGTGAAACAAAAGTTGCCGTGCCATTGTACAGCCAAAAAAACAATGATCAATTGTATCATTCCCAGCCATACACAAACTACATATCGATGGAGAAATATGAATCCCCATTCGGCTTAAGACTTCTGGAAATGGCAAAAGTCTATTCCACAACTTCCATATAAAATTGGAAACCCTTAAAGAATAATGGAATGCCATACATTCCACGCCCAACCTTCCTTTGACTCCTTACGCCTCAAGGCTTCAAAGGCACATTTAACAG